TGAAATACGATCTGTCATTTTTTAAATAAACCAATAAAACTGGTTAAAAACAACAAGACACGACGTATGACGGATTTATATTTAAACCCATCCATAGATAACTTAAAAATTATTAGAAACTTTTTTTAGTAAAATAAATAGATTGGTATGGGACGTCATCTGCTTTTCTTCTGTCATTGTCTGTCGAAATCTTACCTGAGAAAAAAAAACAGAGTATATAGCATTGTACCTATTTGGTGAAGTTAAAAAAATACATGCAATTTTACTGCAAAAGTGTATCTATGGATTAAATTTTATTTATAAACACGCAAAGCTAATAATTACCAGGCTAATTATGAAAATAATAACGTTCATTAATAATCATTAAAAAATATTTCTTAAGAATTTTGTAAAATTACATTATTTTGTGAAACTACTTATGCTCTAAGTAATATTTGATTTGTACTCTCTTATTAGTACTTAATTATGCTGTACCTAATATATCCATATTATTTTTTGTAAATTTAGTTGTTTTTTCAGTGTAGGCAATACTCTCCGTTCCAAAAATAACAATATGATCGAAAAAACGGTGTCAGTGCAAGCTATGAAACGAAGATCTCATTTCTCATTTTATATATGTAAAATTATATGGGGAATGTTATGATCGTTATTTTGTAAAAAAAGACACTTAGAGGCACTATTCTACGAAAAGAAAATCGGTCTTTGGTGGAGTTGGAAAATATTTATATTAAAATTTATGTAGGGGTGGGGGTACTTTTTACCCTTTCCGTACTTTTTCTTGATTTTTGTAAAAGTCAAGTGTTAGAGCACTTAACATAACATAGACACCCAAAATCTCATTCAAATCCAAATACCTAACGGTTCGTAAAATATCTAAAAAATTGTGTTTATTTTTTTAAAATTTGATGCCCTCTAGCGGGCGAACGAAGCACTTTTGTATAGATGTAAATTGTGTCAAATGAACTTATTTTGATTCCAAAAATACGTAGTAGTTCTATGTCCACGGAATATTGGGACACCCTGTATCTTGAGTAATTTTCGTTTTTTTTTTTATAGAATATACAGCGTGAGTCTTAAATAAGTGCAAATATTTTCAGGGGTGGCATATTTCGACCACAGGAACACGTCTATGAGGTTTTTTTCGCAAACAAAACATGTTGAAAATCGTGCATTTTCTTTTAAATTTCCCTGTATATTTTTCGAAAACTTTTTCGAACTGCCTGTTCAACGCAAATTTTCTCACGGTATAATTTCTTAATCTCTGATATTACCATAGTTCCAGCCTTTCTCTATGGTTACGGCACTAAAAGGGATGCAAATGCAAATACAGAAAAAATCCGGTGGCTCTCAAAATTTTTTCAAAAAAAATCTTTTTTTTTTAATTTTCAAACTTAAATAACTCGGTTATTTTGGACTTAATTGAAAAATGGTAAAGAAAAAATGTGTTTCTTTTATCGAGATCTACCAGCCCTGAAAATATTTGCACTTATTTAAGACTCACCCTGTATAATTTTAAAAGAGGTATATCTGTAGAGTCCAAATGTATTATAATATTTAAATTACCATGTGTCCCTTTAAAAATATTTATTTAGGATTCAGTTATACATAATTAAAAAGATAGATATTTTCCAACTAGATAAAGAGCAAGTAGACCTCTTGCGCAATAGATCTGTAAAATCGCGGTATAGGCAACCTAAACCTCCCATACATTCTACATTCGCCGTATTTTCGGAATTATAATGATTATAGTTTCACCTCAAACCTCAAGTATAAATCCGAACAATCCCTGAAATATAAAAAGTTATATAAAAGTGTCCTATTTACAATTATTAACAAACAAGAACTTAATATACAGATTTTTCTGCACGCTGCATCACCCTGTAAACACATTATAGTATACGCATATGAAAGAGTGAAAATCGGTAACAAAGGCTTTATTCGTGGCAATGGTTGTGAGCCTGTCAAATCGAGCACAGTTCCTTCCGGTTAAAACGACATCGCACATTGTATGTACAAGAACGCATATTATATTGAATGGGTCGTTTTGGAGCCTCGGACCATCCCAGACTATTACCCGACAAAGAACAAGCGACACAGTTCCAAAATTTAATTGCGTAATTTGTTTACATTACGTGGTAATCGGTAGTGGTAGTAAGCGTATTTTCCTTTCATATCCGAGTGATTTATATTATTGAAATCACTGCCCAACCAACCACATTAATCGGGTTAAAATCCTGTTAAAATGGAACTTTTGGGTCTTACGGTATAAAGGCTTTATTAAAATTTATATCTGACTGTAGTGTTTAGTAAAAAAAATAGTTGTATCTGAGTGAAATCAATATACTCTTAATTAGGGTTTCTGGAACCGGGAATTTTTGTTCAATGGTGGTGCACTTCATCAGAAAGCAAGGGATGGCTTTTCAAAGTAAAATGGATAAAAATTGAGATTTTTAATGAAAATAATATCCAAGTATTAAGTAATCAGTCATGAAAAAATTAACATTAACACAAGTAAAGATAAAAGTATAGGTAACTTAAATTTCACATCAAACAACATAAACCAACTTAACTGAATTTGAGACAAAAACAGGAACAAATAAATATACAGAAACTTCAAAAGAGAAAAGAAGCAAGAACAATAAGAAATAGCATCATTACTTATTTTAGAAGAGTTTGATTTCGACCGCTAGAAAGTATCAAAGGACTTTCTCACGTAACAAAAAAGTAATTTTTTAATTATTGTTACCGAATCCCGAACGTACCCGGAATTAATTTCAAGGCCTGGTTCTGTGATGGCCAAAAAGATCTGAACCCTAATTGGTAGTATTAATTAGAGTTTCCGGAACCGTACTAAACTATTTTCGTTCAATGATTGTGGAGTTCGTCAATCAGCAAGCAAGGGATGGTTCTCAAAAGATAAAAAATTGAGTTTCAAATGAAAATAATATCAAATTATTAAGTCATGAGAAAGTAAACATTAACCAACCTCGAAACCAACTTAACTAAATTTGAAATATAAACTTTTCAATTTAAGATGCAAATGCCTATAAAAACAGTACACAAAAAAATATAACTAATACATTTAGCAATATTATACTAAATAAAATAACATATTTAAACTTTAATAATTGCTAATAAACATTATAGAAACTTCCAAATAACTTTAGAAGTAAGAACAGTAAGAGATGGCATCACCACTTATTTAGAAGAGTTTGATTTCGACTGCTAGAAAACATCAAAAGTCTTTCGGACGTAACAAAAAATATTAAGTACCGAAAGAACCGGGAATTTATAATTTCAAGTCCCGGTTCCCTGAACCCTACTGTTAATAGAGAGTACGGTAAACAATGTTCCAGTAAAGTTAAGTAGAATCTGTACATTTTAATAACAGTGGCAACAGCGCTTGCTAACTAAGAAGAATTTAAATAAAATTTATGCCTAAAATTTAAATAAGTTCGTTAAAAGTAGGTACGTCATTTTATTTGTAGTAAAATTATTCTATACTGAACTTTGGTATTTTAGATGGTTGAACTTTTTAAACAAATATCAATAAAAGAATGTAAAGAATAATGCAATTATTATGTACATAAATATTTTATACCGGGTGCGTCTCAAAAGTGGCTCAGCCTTATAACTTTTTTATTTTTTCAGATAAAAAAACGAAATTTGGTATGTTAATAAATAGTATATGACATAAATTATGATTGATTGGCGCATTCAATTGTTTTCAGTCACTTCCTGATTTACCGGAAATGTCTACCTATAACTTTTGATTTTTAAATGGCACCCTCGGTATTTTTTTATTTATTCAATAGAAAATGACACTCTGGTGATGTAAAATCACAAAATAATAGCAAGAATACTGACAATTTAAAAAAAATAACTAGATAAATAAAAGAAAAAATAATAGTAAAAAAAATTGGCGCGGGGAGGCACGTATAGCCGCCCATAGTAAAATATGTTAATAAAAAGTTGGTAGGCAGTTGGTTCTTTTAGTTTCAAAGTATAGGAATTTTTCCAATTTTTTTTATCTCAAAAACTGCGACTTTGACTGATTTTGATGTTATTACAAATTTTGTTGCAAATATTATTCCTAATCTTAAATTGAAAACCGCGTTGCGCTAGCTACTGTAATTTTGGAGTAACGATTTTTTAAAATTCTTAACCCCCTCCCATACCCCCTTTCCAACCCCCCACCCCCACCAAAAACTAATGGCCAGATTCTCGGGTGGCATAGTACGGTATGATCGAAAAAAAACGGCGTCCAGTTGGCTGGGAAATGACAATCGCTGACATTTCCCATATAATCATAAATTTTACATATAAAATGACAGCGATCTTCATTTCATAGCCATCGCTAACGCAATTTTTATTCGATCATACGGTATTTTTGTGCCAAATTTGGTTAAAATCGGTTTAGCGGTTTTTGTGTTATAACACGATAACGGACGGACAGACAGACAGACACCATGAAAATATTTTGTATTTAGGTCATTTATGATCCAAATAACTCATTTTAAGTGAAATTAAAAAAACTTTTTTTTGCCAATCTTAATAGCCTACCATACCTATTGGTATGGTCGACTAGATATTTGCAAAATCCTTTACTTTTTCTAAGCTTCGTTTTGGTTGATGATACAAAAATGTACTCGTCATCTTGGTTTACTGTCAATTTTAATATGTATTAGTTAATCTTAAGTACTATTTATGGTTACCCTTTCAAAATAAATTACTGGAAAAATAAAGTCCTATTTATTAAATAGTAAAATCCGTAATATATGTATCTAAAAAGATATTATTTTTTTGAGATATTGCGCTACTGTAAGATTTTTCGTCATTTATTTCTACGAAGTACCTATTTTATGATAGTAGTAAAATAACTCCTACTTTTAACGGTAGTAAAATTGCAAAATCACAGCGTACGAAGACTTAAAAATTCGAATATCAACGAATTTTAAAACAAAAAGCCTTGTTCTAATTTTGATATTTTTGTTTTGCAGGCCGAATCCGAAGTGGCAGCCCTGAACCGTCGTATCCAACTTCTGGAAGAAGATCTCGAACGTTCCGAAGAACGTTTGGCCACCGCCACCGCCAAACTGGCCGAAGCCTCACAAGCCGCCGACGAGAGCGAAAGGTTCGTTTTAGCTAGATAGAGACGGTTTTTGATTTTCTTCCAAAAAGTATGTCGATTCAGATCGAGTTTTTCATGTTTGTCGATAGAGTTGTATGAGTAAAAATATACAAATCAATAAAAAGGTTCGAAATCATTGATTTCTTGAAAAAAAAGTGTGTAGTATCGAAGTTACATTACAAGATAGAGGATTAAAACCAAGAATAAAACTATAGAAAATAGTTGTATACAGCAGGGGCGCATATACGAGACAGTAGTGGGTGTAATTACGTCTCCCAGAAAAAAAAAATATAAACAAGATAAAATATGGTATAATATAAAGTTGTTACAAAGTAAATTAATAATACAAATCCAAGTTTTTTTCGCAGTTACAATACTTTTTGGCGAAAATTTAAGTTAATTCTAGTATTTTATTTAAATATTGCCGCTCCCCTCCCAGACTCAAAAACTAGATGCGCCACTGGTATAGAATTGGTGCATTCTCCGCCGGTGCTGCCACCATCGGAGAATATCGTAATAATTTTAGAAGATGTTCATAAAACCATTTAATCACTAGTTAATTAGAAAAAAGTATACCATTAATATTGCAAATTATATTTTATCCTCTCATAGTAAATGCCTATTTAATTTTTTGATTGTGTAAATGTAATGAGCACTTTGTTTGCTCACTTGTTTCGTCGAACACTGCTTGAATCCATTTTTGCTTTTAGTCAAATCGATGTGAGAAACTGTGAAGCTGTAAAATGTTGTTTCGGGAGAGTTGAATATCGCGGAAAATTAAGTTATTGAATATTATTGCACCCAACAACGCGTTAACATTTTTTCGGCAATTTTATTAACATTTGAAATTGTCAGAACACAACACGGCGCCTTGATACAAGATGCCAAATGTAGAAAAGTATAGAGGAAAATATTCGTGATAAGAACTATATAATAACCTAAAAAATGCTGCAGTTTTAATGGCGACCGCGGTTCATTCAGTTAAAAACACGTATACACGACGAGGCTGTTGCTGTACCAGAAAAGAGAGAATTTCTTTCTACAATGTGTAAGAAAGTATATACCCGAAAAGCTAAAAGTAATGTATTTCACAGAGGATTGGGTCAGCTGAACTGAATGAATCAGGAAGTCTTATTCGAGATCAAATTACCGTTATCGATAATGGAAATAAAGCAGTAGAATCTACAGATGTCCGACCCAATATTGGTCTTTATGAAAATTTTGATCAAGACAATTTAATTTGTTTTTTAAAACCGGAGGCAAAAGAACTTTTTCGCACGAACGAAAAACACCCCTACTTATATATTAATAAATAAAATATGTTTCTTCGTTATGGTCCTTTTGTTTTTGTGGATTTGGGCCGGTTGTGTCTGTTTTTCCCGGTCCGGTTTCCACTTCCCCATCCACCCCTGTTCGACTTTAATGCGTACAAAATTGTTAAAATTGGTTAATAAATGTAATATCATTTTAATTTAAAAACATAAATGCTAATTTTCATTTACTGTTAATCTTGGAGTAAAATGTTTTAATTAGTTTTTTGGAAGACTCCTTAATTGATATAATTATACGAAATTGGTAGTTTTTTAAACACATTTAATTACAGTAACATCTTCTAGTAGAAAATTTAATATATCCTCTTAATTAGTATATTTAACTGATGAGTTAAATAAATACAACACCAATAATTATGATATTACCGAGGATATTACTTTTAAATCACATCAACTAATACAACTTTAATTGCATTGTAAAATACCTACACCCAGTACGAGTATAATTAATTAAGTTCTTTCTAGGTATAATACTATACTTTAAAGTTAATGCTTTTATGCGATTACTATTATTTACAGAGAAACGCCACTAATATCCCGTAATAAATTATACTTATTGAAAAATAATTCTAAACGATTTTAAATATTATTTAAATTCTCTTCGTATTAAAAATGTATTTGGGTTTGGTATAACTGTTACAAGTTACAAACAAACAAAGGTTTTGAAATAAATACGGGACTTACTACAAAATGACAGTATTAATTATTTGGAATATTAGCTATAAATTTCGAAAAAGTAAAAGAAATTTGTGACTAGGAATCAGTTTAAAAACAGTAAATAATTCTTTATATGAACTTAAGTAATTATCACTATGATATTATTATTATTATTGCGTATATTATGTGAAAAATTGCGAATCGGATGATTTGTAAAATTGTTTAAATCTCGTTTTAGTCATAGATGATAAAGAATTAAATCGTTTTAATCTTGATTTACTTATCGCAATAAAAATGTCAGTACCTTTAACATTTTCGAATTTATTGTTGCCTTTTCAACATTTTTTAAATAATGAAAGTAAAAAGTGCTCAAAAAAAAGATGACGAAGCCATGATTCCAATGACATTTGTCAAAACTTTACTTAGAATATAGTCTGATGTCCAACGACAAAATCCTTGACAGTGATAGATGTGTCTGTCATTTTAATTTCAAAGTAGTTTATTTTATTTTACAAAGAAATAAGTTGGTACAATTGGAACGCATAGCCGGAAATTAATATATTTAAAATTTGACTGACAAGTGATTACTTCAAAATATTGTGAAAAAAAACTTATAAAACTGAAAAAATGTAATGGAGTTATTTTATTTAAAAAAAACGGTATGTGTTATTACAAAACAAACAAGAACAAAACACGGCATAAAAAAATATAAAAAAACTATTTCTGACTTTCAAGCTTCAAGAAACTTCCCGCATTTATTATTATATTTATCAATACAACTTATGTACAAATACAAATTTGTAATATTCCACAGGAATAAATAAAACAAACTATTTTATTAATAATAACACTTACCAAATTTAATACCTTAAAGGTTGATTAATTAACTTTAAGCTTAATTTTTTTAAACAAGTATCTTTTGACAATATTTCTCTGCAGTACTAAAATCCATTATTTACCTATCGTGTGATATCGATATTTTACAGCTACTCCAGTTTTTAGTATATGTTTAGTACGATCCATAAATGTGCTCTGGGTCTACAGTTAATTTTCCCTCGATTTTTCCTCCATTCGACTTCAAAAGACACAAAACACACGTAATAACACGAATCAAAATGCATCATCTTCCAAATCGCAGGGTATTTGATACATAAGTTGACACAAAATTATAACCTATAATTTGGCAAGACTTTGACAAGCCTCAAAAATCTAAAGGCCAGTTCATACGCATCGGCGTCCGTTTGTCGTTCATCGTTCCGTCAAACCAATAAAATTTAAATATGATCTGTCATTTTTGATATAAACCAATAAAACTGGTTAAAATTGGTTTGATTTATATTTAAACCCATCCATAGTTAACTTAAAAAATATTAGAAACTTTTTTTAGTAAAATAAATAGATTTGTATGGGACGTCATCTGCTTTTCTTCTGTCATCGTCTGTCGAAACCTGAGAAAGAAAAACAGAGTATAGAGTAGAATTTTATCTTAACTGGAAAATGTTATAGTCTATAAAATGAATAACTTTGAATCTTGACCGTTATTTTTTCCCAACATGGCAAATATAAAATCCCTCTATCAAAAAAGTTACTGATATTCTTTAAATTGAGTGCCTGATCGAATCAGATGGGTAACTCTTTTTACTTTCGTGAAATAGAAAAGGAAAATAATAAAACAAGTGACAGTTCTTCCTCATCTTGCAAAAATCAACACGAAATGTCATAATTGTCAAAAGTAAAAAGTCATCAGCTTTTGACATTTCTAAATATCAGACCAATGCCGTCTCTAATAGAAGCGAGCCTCGGAGCGAGATTTATGACGTCACGCTAGTTAGGTATTACGGATTAATAAATATGTTGTAGTATACATGGAAAACATAATTATTCCTCGTATTTTTGGTTTGTATTTTAAAAATGATATAGTTTACATGAAATATACATAATATACAGTTAATAAATATAATATATATACGTATTTATAGTAATAAATACTTTAGCAAATAAACTATGAACCATACAAATGCAGCAAATGTTTTCGAATCTACAAATAATGAATAGATACATATGATAATGGGTAAAATGTAAAATATATTTTAAATTTTGAGGTTTGAAAATCTAAATTTTGTGAATGTAAATAATAATACATCACTATTAGTAGATATTGAATGTTTTTTGTTAAATTAGATCGATTTTAAAACCTCAAAATTTAAAATATATTTTACATTTTACCCATTATCTTATGTACCTATTCATTATTTGTATGTTGTAAAACACTTGCTGCATTTGCATGGTTCATAGTTTATTTGCCAAAGTATTTATTACAATAAATAGGTATATATTATATTGTATTTATTAACTGTATATTATGTATAATATTTCATGTAAACTATATCATTTTTAAAATACAGACTAAAAATACGAGGAATAATTATGTTTTCCATGTATTCTACAACATATTTATTAATCCGTAGTATCTAACTAGCGTGACGTCATAAATCTCGCTCCGAGGCCGTTCTATTAGCGACGGCATTGCGTCAGCATGGCAGCCAGTTGCTAACCTAATAAAATTAACACTAGAAAAGCCCACGGGAACTGTCAAATTCAAAGTTATTCGTTTCACAGACTATATAAAGTATTTCTATTTTATAGTTTTTCCCTGTGCTTAGAATATATACCCGAACCATTTTGCATAAACTGTAATGTAAATTAGCTATCGAAATTTGTAGATCTGAGATATTATGTTTGTACATTCTTCAAGTCGTTTATGACCGGCATAATACACACGGGCGCATCTTAACGGACGATCTCAGCATTTTGTAGAACCGTTATGAAACTAAGAAATTGGAATCCTAGGCCGTACACGTCCATACCCGACCATATGGTCGTATTTTTATAATGAATAACAGACAAATAATGTCAAATAGTTTGGATTTCAGAAAATAAATTATTGTCTATTAGTATTTCTATCAAATTAAGTAAGTATTTATTAGATCAGTTATACATCTGTTTTTATTTATT